ATCACAATGAACAATAATCTGAATCTGAATCCTCACAATATGTGGCCTGACAAACATGTGGTTTAATAATCCATGCAATATAATCCCATCCCGAGCCCGGAAAATAATCAAATCACATCCCAAAAACAAACGCCCCTAAAAGTTTAGAAGCTACTGGGAAAAAAGGATAAAATTGATTCTATTATGAACAAGTGGAATGTACCACTATTCATAAATAGTGAGTCCAACATGTGTGAATAGTAATAGAGTATGGGATATGAATAATTTATGTACAAAGTGTCGGTAGAATTTTCCTATAAAAGACACTGCAAATGTAGTGAAATGGTGCACATTCAGAAGAATGAAGAAAATATGGAATCTGTTATAAAAACAAGAAAGACATAGAACTCAATATGAAACTGAATATAAATTATACTCAACATTTTCTTCTGAATGTGAACACTTTCACTACATTTGCAGTGCCTTTTATAGGCAAATTCTACCGACACTTTGAACATAAATTATTCATATCCCATACTCCATTACTATTCACACATGTTGGACTCACTACTTATGAATAGTGGTACATTCTACTTGTTCATAACACTCTCCTTTGGAATTACCACTATTAAATGTGCGTTTATGCTGCCTCGTTAAAAACCTTATCCCAAAAAAACCCTATGGAAAAAAAATTGAGATAAGGAAAAAAGTGTATAGCCGCACATGCTCCCTCTCGAGTTATCATCTGTGCAAGTCTCGAAGATGCCTCATTCCAATGTTATGGACGTGCTTTCGAAATGTTGTAGTTGGGAGTGCCTTTGTAAATAAATCTGCTGCGTTGTCACTTGATCGGATGTATTGAATCTTGATTTGTTTGTTCCTTTCGAACTCGCTTGAGTGTATCAGAAGAATTTTGGTGGGATATGTTTAGTTCTGTCATTATTAATGTATCTTTCTTTGATTTAAGCTACACATGCTGCATTGTCTTCAAATATCACCGTCGGGTCTTTATTGTTTGATAATCCACTGGCTTGTTGAATGTGTTGAGTCATGTTTCTGAGCCAGATGCTTTCTCTAGTTGTTTCATGAAGTGCAATGATTTCAACATGATCTGAAGATGTAGTAACTATTTTTTTGTTTCTGAGAACACCAAGAAAATACAGTTCCACCAATCATGAATACGTAGCCAGTTTGAGATCTCGCCTTATGTGGGTCTGATAAATATCCTGCATCTGCAAAACCAATCATTTCATGTTTTTTGTCATTTGAGTAAAATAATCCCAGATCGGTTGTTCCTTGGAGATAACAGAATATAAGCTTGATTCCATTCCAGTGTCCCCTCAGAGTCCCCTCATAGTTGACGAGTTATATCTTGTTAATAAGTTGGTAGCAAAAGATATATCTGGTCTGGTGCAATTAGCAAGATACATAAGAGCTCCTATTGCACTCATATATGGGGCCTCAAGGCCAAGTATTTCTTCATTTACTTCACAAGGTCGAAATGAATCCTTTTCAACATCCATGTTCCGTTAACCATCGAAATACTAAGGGATTAG